TGACAAAATTAAGTTATAGCCTTTTTCTTTAAATGCCTTTATTAACCCCTTGTACATACTAATTAGCTTCTCTGACCTACTTTTCTCTACATCATTAGCCTCTACATGCACCACAAAAACTGCATCTCTGCTAGCCCCCTTATATCTCCTGCTCTATCAATTATATCTTCTATCTGTGCCCCTGGGTAACATAATATGATTCTTTTCTTCCTATTTACCCCACAAACTATCCTATTCAAACACCTTGTCAAGGAATGAATTTGTGTCTTTAAAGCTGCATTTACATTTTTTTCAATCATATTAAGAACATATTCCTTCTTTTTGTTATTGTAATCTATTAGCATGGCTAAATTTAAAATATTTTTATCGAAGAAACTGTTTTAATGTTTAATCAAACATGATTTTACACTGTTTATGAAATTAAATTAAAAACATATATGATTTAACTCTCTCAACACGAACTTGGTCAATTAGACCGACCACATGACCTCTTTGTACCCGTTCAAAGTCCTTATAAATTTGAGACAATTAGACAATATATAGTGTGTATATATCTTCACGAAATTTAGCAGTCTTTCGGTTTTTCATATACAAAAATTAATATTTTTTACTGAAGTATTTTTAATAAACTAATAAGATTTCTCATTGAATATATCGAGTATTAGTTTTGAATAGTCTGCATGCAAAGTGATTTTCATGTTAACATTAAAATACTTTTCTTCATCTCAAAAATCTCAAATTTCATTTGTGTATTCTCTAAAACCTCCTAAATACTTCAGTAAAGCTAATATTTTATCTGTAATTTTCTCCCCTAATTCTATACAAGTTTGGTCAATTTAACTGACCTCATAATCACCAAAAAAAAATAAAAATCTAAATTACCCTCTTTTTTCTTCTTAGAATGATTTCAACTGTAGTTTTTTTGAAACTACATTCATTTATCCTAAGTAGCTTTAAACTTATAAAAGAATACATCTATTTCTGATTAGATTTTATTGTTTTAATACCCCTTTTGATTACCCTTTGAACCATGTCTAACTACTGTTTGTGCCATTTATGTGTTGTAAATCACTCGGGGGAACTTGCAGCTCATGTTATGCTATCAAATTACATTACCAATGAGCTACTTTGAGCTGCTCATGTGCATGCTTCATGAAATATTTTTATTATATTATTATTATTATTGTTTATTTTAACTAATCTAACCTTAACTAACCTAAAGAGATCCATATTTTTACATTTTAGTTACCTTTTATAATAATAAACAAAGAATAAACATGAAAAACAAGAAATAAAGTACTTACCCTATCTTCTTTTTCTTGCTGTCGATTATTGATGACACTTGACCCTACTTTTTTATACTAATCTTAGTAATGCATTAAATAATTTTTATCTAATTAAATAATGTACCAGAAAACATAGACTAATAACATGCAAAAAGTAGACAATTTCCCCTAACTCTCAAATTTTTCTGGCTTTATAATTATGGGACAAGAGTAGTTACAAATTCATTCAAGCTAGTCGTTAACTTTCCCATGGGAATGAACCATGTATTATAAGTGAAATTGATGCTTATCTGTTAAGATTACAGTGTAAAACAATACATCATTTGATAGATGAAAACCTTCACTTTCTATTGGTTGTAGGTAATATATGATTAAAAGTAAGATAAAACTATTAATCCTGACAGAAAGTATGTGACAGGTGGGTGTGGCTGGAGGGGGTCTGATTTTCTATTTGATAACTCTGTAACCAAACAAAATTGAAGGCTATAAAAATTATGGTTTGTCTGAGCAGTGACGATTTTATAGTGAGTAATTTGCATTGAATTTTGTACTTTTTGGAGGGGTGATGGATAAAATAGAGAAGAGAAAATGTGTCATACTAGAGAAAATTCAGGATTTTTTTTTATTGCCTTATAGAATTAAAAAGTTAAAACTTGTATACTATTAAAATGTCGATTATTAGCTAAGACTTTATGCTATACTAATTGGTAGTGTAATAAAATTTTCAAGGTTAGACACAAAAACCTAGTGTTGTATGCAGTAAAGGATACCCATGGCAATAAAGTTAAAAGCATAAATGTATATGAAAGTGAAGCACTGGGATTTATAAAAAAAAACAAAACATGATGCTAAGATCTAACAAAATTAGGTTAAAGCATTATGAAGAAAAGTAGCAGGTGCTCTAAGAATATCTGACTTCTGATTTTTAAACTTTGTTGTGCTTTCACTTTCATTTCTATATATAAATGTGCCCATGGTTTTCAGAAAAAGATGTAGAGAGTAGTTTTCTGAAAAATTAATTTAGCAAAAGTTTAAACTAGAGAAAAAATATTGGACAACTACCTTTGTGACAAACATTAAATAATGCATGTGTCAGATATAAAAGACTCTTTAGTTTAACTAGTATTATTAATCAATTAATTTTGTGTTTGCAATCCATTGATGTCAAGGCTATGGAGATTTCTAGAAGGCCTAAGTGATAGAAACAGAGTAAAAGTAAAGTCACGTGAAAGAGAAGTTTAGTCAGAGATATTTTAGAAAGCTTAAAGTTAACCATCATGGGAGTGAATGGCCTAATGGTTAATATGTTAGAGTGAGATTAACAGTTTGAAAGAGATAAAGAGAATAATTTATCTCGTCACATGGTGTTCTAAACTAGTTGATCCTGCCTGTGTGGAATTTTACAAAAGGCAGACAATTATTTGGAAGTATGAAGAGCAGACAATTATTGGAAGTACAAAAAGCAGAGTGTAAAGAATTTTGTACGTATATTTCATTTTCAAATGTGTGTGTGTGTGTATATATATATATGCGTGCTGTTTGTTTATTTTCAAATTTATCACCAACAAGTCACAGACACCTACTGTAGAAGAATCCTTAGCCCAACACACCCATATATTTACATTAATATATATATAAACTAAAAAATAGTTCCTGACAGCTTGATATTCCTTCATCCATTTCTGTATACAGGTGTTTTTAAGTAAAGAAATGAAAGAAATTTAACAGGATTTTATTTTCACTACGTAAAAAGGTATTTTATTAAACTATAGTTAAGCCAGAAGTGTTATGATAGTTAAAGGACATTTTCTGCTTTTTATATGTTGTTATTCTGTGTTGTTAGGTGTATTATTCAATTAAATGATATTTTTTAGTACAGTAGTACCATTAATGTAGGATTAGGTTTCATTAACAGTCAACAGCAAAAAATAAAATAAGATCTAAGTAAGTACTATGTTTTTTTGTTTTTCACGTTTATTCTTTATTTATTTATTATTATAAAAGTAACTAAAATGTAAATATTAGAAACTTTTAAAATTAGATAAGGTTAGATTAGGTAAAATATATAATAATAATAATAATAATAAAAAATGTTCATGAGGTATACTCACGAGTAGCCCATTCCTTACATAATTGGATAGGGTAATATGAGCTACAAGTTTGCCAAGTGTGGTGGGATTATTAGTTAGACATGGTTTAAAGGTTAATAAAATTTAAGAAGAAACAGATGTATACTGTTAAGAGTTTAAGTTATTTAGGTACTAAACAGATGTAGTTTATTGTTACTAGTTGTAAGTCATTCTAGAAAGAAAAACGGT